AACATGCTTGCTCCTCTGGTAGATTAAACCCCGCCCCTCTAAGGAGGTCAGTGGGGGTGAAATTCAGGGAAATTGGAGTTGAGGCTACCCCTCCTGTGACAATTCTCCCTCCGTGTCAACTTTGCAGGATCTGACTTGATTCTTACTAATGAAGCTCCTCGAAGATTCTGGTTTCCCACCTCTTCCTTCCTGGTCTCTTTAAGAGGAACAAATTACAGGGTGTTTGGAATGGTCAGAACTATATTAGAGAAGGAAATATAACTCACAAAGAACAGAGTGGAACCTCACCTCCCTGATTTGGGATATAGTACCTCCAATAACAGAATTGAAAATGACGTTAACTTGTAGAATATCTGTAATAGACTATGAACTCCCTAAAGGCAGGGATTGCCTTTTGCTCACCTCTATATTCCTGGCATATGACAGGCATTTAGTAAGTGGGGTTTTTTTGTTAAATAAATGGATCCCGGCAGTGACTCACACAGAGGATTGCAGCTAATGAAAGCCCCGGGGCCTTTCTCCACTTGTGCTGTGGCCTAATCCTTACTTAGGCAGTTGGGTTTGGGATCACGGGGCAGGATGTAACATTTATCCCTATGAAATCCCACCTTGTTGAAAACAGTCCCTCTAGATCTTTTTGGCCAGCTCAGAGCAATGGGCCAAATCATGCTGGTAATGCCAGATCACAGTCTCAGCTCCAGCCCCTGATGAATGCCTCCTTCCTGCAAACTTGTTAGCCGAAGGGCCATACCAGCTGGCTGGCTCATGTACATCTGAGCTGAACCATCAGCCTCAGGCTTGGCAAGCTCAGGGTGTAGATGGCCCCCTGCAGCCAGGCCCAATGCAAGGGCGATGAGTTTGCAAACTCCTGCCTTTTGTACCCGTCACCGCCTCTTACTTGACCTCAAGAACCCCAGATATTTTGGCCAAGAGGATTCCCAAAGGTCTGTGGGTACCTGAGACCCTGAGCTCACTTGAGGAAGGAAGGGAACCCCATTTGGGACCCAGAACTACATATCTCATGGGACCCCATATAGGAATGTTAATCCCCATTTTCCAGGTAGGGAAAAAACAGTGGGATAAGGTTAGGCTGTTAGAAACCCCAGGCCCAAGTGTGACCACTTTCCAGCCTTATATCCCTTCTAACTTCCTCTTAGAATCAAATCTGCTCCAAAATCAGGACCCTGCCCTACTCCTGTATCTAGCCCGGGTCTAGCAGTTAAAAATCATTGAACAATAAAAATAACAGCAACAACTTCATTTATTGAGCCCCTACTACGTGTCAGACACTGTTGTAAGTACTTTGCTTATATTATATCTAATGTCATATCACCCTGTGGGGAGAGGCAGTCACCTTCCTTTTCTGCACATGGAAACTGAGGTCCAAAAAGGACGAGTGCCTTGTCCGAGGCCACATTTCTGGGAAGTGTCAGGCTCAGATTCAAACTCAGGTCTGTCTGAACTTAAAGGACATCTCTCTGACAGCTCAGAGCTGTCAGCCGGACACATCTCAAACAGCAGCGTTCATTTACAAAGGATAATTCAGAGTGGCCTCTTCCATGGCAAGGAGACAGACACGGGGACTCGATGGATCTCTCCACTCCTCCCTGGGGACCAACACAGGCCTGGCCCAAGACCACAGGAGCGGAGCACCTTGGAAAGAGCCCCGCTGACACCGCCTCCCTGTTTGAGAAGGTTCTGAACAAAGCCTTGGAATTTCCAAGAGTGGCTTTCCCGGCTGGAAGGAAGCCACTTGCCCCCGTGCATCCCAGCAGCTGGCTTATGGGAAGATGTTCGGACAGGTTGATCTTTCTCAGTAATTCATTCAAAAAATATTAGCCAAAAAAAAATATATTAGCCAGGGGCCTAAACTATTGGCACTTTTATCATTTCAAAACATCCTCCAGTCTGGGCCAGCATGAACAGCTGGACTTGGAGGTTACCGTGTTAATACTGGCACCAGAAGAGAACACAGCCTATTAAATAACAGGGTGCGTGAGTCCTGGCTTGGGTGCAGTGCTGAGCCAGGCATTGGAGAGGGACGGATCTTGGGGGTCATCCAAGCTCACCTCCAGCTGTAGCGTGGAACTTGAGCTCAGAGCGAGTGACAGAGATGGGATTTGAACTTGGGTCTTTGGGCTGCTTCTAGAATTACAGGATATCCACCTGCCAACCTGCTTGCCCATCTCTAGGCCTGACTTTATAATTGCTGGATGAGAATTGATCCACAAGGAGCAGCCAGGAGGTCTCAGCAGAGACAAAGCCCAGAAGGAGCCAGCCAAGCATCCCCTGGAGGGGTGCAGAGTAAGAACAGGAGCTGCCTCAGACTCTGAGATGTGGGACTGCACTGCTCCATTGTGCCAGCCGTAGACATCCTAGCCAGAAATGGAAATTCACTCGTATAACCTCCCCACCCCGTAGCCTGCCAGCCACGGTCTCCATAGCCTGGCCCCAACTTGCCTCTCCACCCTTATCTCTCCCGGCCTGCCCTTCAGCCAGTCTGCACTCCTAATCTCAGAGACGATCCCTCCTGCATTCTTGAACAACTAGTACACCTGCTCCCTTCCCCAGGCTTGTCCGCGCTCCATCCGTCCCAAGGAGCTGAGTTCCAACCACACAGCTCACTTCCTCTGAGTCTTTCCTAAGCAGCCTCTCCTCAGGCCTTTAGAGCACATGACACCTCTCCCGTCCATCTCACGCATCATCGCAAGGATGCGAATAAGAGGTGGCAGCTATCTTTACTAAGGCCGTACTTCATGCCAGGCCCTCCACAGCATTATCACATTGAGTCCTCACAACAACCCTCTGAGTTGAACACCATTGTTTCCATTTGACAGATGAGGAAACAGAGGCTTGGAGAGGTGCCCAATGTCACACAGCTAGAAGCTGGAACCCAGGACTCCACAGCCAGGGCTTCTGATCTCTAGGTGCCAACCCTGCCTCCCACCAGCACAGGCTGCCTCACTTTGTTAGCTCCTGCCGGTGGAGTTGGGGGTTCTGCTGTTCCTGGGTAGGCATTAGGTCTCTGAGGGCTTGAACAATTTCATTCATTTTTTTCATTCAACAGAAGTTTGTCGGGCACCTTCTACCACATTGCCAGGATCTAGCCCTTATCTTGGGCATTAGAAATACAGGCATGAAAAAGCCACAGTCTCTGCTCTCAATGTACCCCCGTCTGTTTGGAAGACAGACTCACAAAGAGACAAATGACTCAACGACTCAGGATGGGTGATGTGCAGGGCTAGCAAGCCTAGGAGAGGGAGCTTCTGGCCAACTTCACCTAAAAATTGGAACGTGTGACAAATGTGCTGTGTTTGGTGCCCTGGGCGCCTGGTACAGACTACCTTGCATACAGCAGGCGCTCTCAGTTGGTGGCGATGGCCAAGTGAGCGGACAGTGTCAGTGAAAGCCCCAGAATATCCATCTAGCTGATGTGTTCAATTGGCCATCTGGGGTGCTTTTAGTTTCAACAGATACTTATAACAATAGAAATGATGGGTAGTGCATGACAATGAAGCCCTTAGATGACTAGAGCTCCTGGCAGGCAGAAGTGGTGGTTAATACATCTAGGTGACCCCTGCAGAGCCTAGCACTGTAGCTCATGCCAAGAGGAACCCAATCAGTATTGCTGATTGATGACAGAACCTTCTGCTGTCTAGGGACACGCAGCCTCGGACAGTCATGGAGGACATGCTAGACAGAGTGTCCTAGGTTTTCTTAGTCTGTCTTTCATTCCTCGTCTCCCTGTCTGCTAAAAATACAGAGAATCTGCATTTCCTCCCTCCTTGAGTCCAAAGGGCCAGAATGCTTAAACCTGACCAGAAACTCTTGAGAAGATGCAGCAGTCAAACGAGGAAAAGTTTCACCTCTGGATCATCTGTTTTCCATTCCTCACCCAAAGCAAGTATCCAGAGTACACACTGAAGCAATCAGCAGGGGCCCAGACCCTATGGAACAAGGTCATGAGCTTTCCCTCCAGCTCCAAACCCTCACCCTACCTCCCTCTGACCCCCTGGAGTCCTGAGCCAGAGCCCCTGCCAGGCAGATGGCCCAGTGGATAGAAAAGTGTTTCGGTTGCTGGTGGCCACCCCTTTGCCGACTTCTTTCTCTGGGTCATTTTCCCAGGCTCTCTACAGGGTACTCCTGAGCTCATCCCAGCAAAGGGGGCAGGTCTGGGGTGGTTTGGGCAGAAGCTCTCAGGAAGGAGTTAGGGCTTTAGGCCCCAGGATCCTGCCCCCTGGGCTGCTTCCCCCAGGACTCTGCCCCCTGAGTAGGCTATAGTTGATTTCAAGGCTCTCATCCCAGGGCAGACAGTAATCGGTCACCCAGCAGGGGGAGGGGGAGAGAGCCTGGTTGCTGGACTGGGGTCTCCTCCAGACCTTCCTCCCACTCCACTCTGCAACGTGGCCAGGACCCCAGCAGGTAGACGCTTCATCCCAATCACCCAGGCCTCCTGTCTCAAGGACCAGGCCAGTTCTTGGTACCCACTGATGCAATCCCGCCTAGGCTGTGTGCTCTGGTCCCTCCAGCCAAAGGACCACCAACCCGAGAGTGGAGTTCTCTCTGCCACTAGCTTCTCTTTATGCGTCTCTGTTCCAGGGTTTCTGTCCCCAAGGGAGCAGGGCCTCCCAAGTGCCTTCAGGGTACCCAAGTCCTTTATCAAACCTGGAGCTCTGGAGTTGGGGTCACCGTGGGCACTTTTGGCGCCCAGTCAAGAGCTCTCCACCTCCCTTCCTGCGGACCATCAAAAAGTCAGAGTTCCTCACCCAACCTGGTCCTTCCACGCATGCGCCTATCACCGTCCAAAGTCATGCCTCGATTTCCCTGTTCCACAGGGGACTCCTTTTTCCGTGAGCCCTATCCAGTCCCTTCCTGCGTCCCAGACTTGCCCTTCCGCCTCCTCTTCTCCTCCCGTGTGTATCCCAGCTCCTCTCCCGGCCACCGCTGTGGACTTCAGGTAGCCTCCCAAGTACAAACCCCCAGCCCGTCAGGGGGCTCACCTCCGCCGTTCTTGTAGCAGAGATAGGGGAAGCGCCACACGTTGGCCAGGTCTACGGCGAAGCCGACCACCGACAGCAGAAAGTCGATTTTCTTGCCCCAGGTCTCCCGGGGCTGCTCGTCGCCGTCGCGGGATGCCAGGAGGCACTGGACGCCGTTGCGCTCTTTCACCACCAAGAGTTCTGCAGCTTTGCGCTTCCGCTGGGGCTGCTCCGACCCCGGGCCCGCCCCGCTGTTCTCAGGCTGCACCTGTGGGTTCATCCGCGCCAGAAGCATGGGTGCGGCTGGCGAGAGGGGAGTCGGCGATACTGGGAGCACGCCGAGACTCTGCTGGAATAAAAGGAAAAGATGCGGTCACTGGGCCCTTCCACCCTGCCTGCGCCTCCCGAGGCCTCCCGGGAGCGCCGGGATACTGTGGTCGGCGCGCGCTGAGCGGACGCAAGGTTCCTAGAAAAGGGCGCGCGTCTGTTGGAAAAATTTGGAAGCAGAGGTAGTGGGGCGCCCGACTGGGACGGCACTTCGAGGTGGAGACCACCCCTGCCGCCCTAGGGATCCTGCTAGGCACCCCGCAGCTCTTCCCTCATTCACCCGCTCTCTCTTGTCCCCAAACGGCGGAGTTTGGACACGTCCAGGCAGAGATTTCCCAGGGCGGTGACCCGGCCGGGTGCAGCTGGCTGCCCCCTACCCTCGGCTCGGGTCTGAGCCACGTCCGAGAGCCCCAGGAGTCTCCCCGGACACTTATTACCTCTGCACTTCAAACTCGCTGGCACCCTACCTCTGCGCATCCCAACCTGGGCCTCCCCGGCACACCTAGCTCGGTTCCGCGCGCAGGGCGCACTCACGCGTTCGGCGGCGACGGGATCCCGGCTGCCGTGCGCTCTGCCTTGCCTGCTCCGGACCCGCCTCGCTTCGCCTCGCCTCGCCTCGCCAGGCTGTGGGGCGCGGGCTGGGGCTGGGCTCCGCCGCGTGGCGCTCGGGCGCGGCCTGAGGAGCGCTGAAAGCGCGGGGCGGCCGGCGGGGCGCAGGCTGGCTGGTTCTGACCGCGCCGGGCGGGGGCCGGGCTGGTAATGTAGCCTGCGCCCCAGGTAACGCGCCGATTGCATTAACCCAGCGCCGGGCCCGCTCTGTCTGGAGCCTGTTAGCGCTAATGGAGACTGACAGCGCGGCCGGGGATGGGCAGGGGCGGGAGCGCGGCGCGGCTCGGGGGACGGCGGGAGTCCCGCTCCCGGCGACTCACGGGACCCGGGCGCCCATTCCCGTTGCAGCACGCACTGGGACACCAGACTCAGCTCCTGGGGGCACCAGGCTCTGACCTCTGACTACGGGAAGAGAGCGAGACTCTCAGAAATAGTATCTAAGTCGCGGGGACGGGGAAAAGACTGGGGAGATCAACGACGGTTCAGTACCAGCTCTGTCATCCGCCGCAGGCCACTTAAACCACCTGGCCAGAGTTTCTCCACCAACAAAATGGGAATGTTCTGTTCAGTGCCTAGGAAGGCATACTGAGGGCCTGCAGGCCATTGGGTGGGTTTTGTTTAGCTGGCTCGAATTGAAAGGTCACAACTGGGCACTTACTCCTTCGTCTGTTTGTTATGGGCAGGCTAGCAAGGGATTTGAGGTTGTGACCCCTGTTGTATGAGGCTTAGAGTCGCTATTCATTCATCTATTCACCCATTCATGCACCCCTTTGCTCACGTGTTCCTACATATGCCTTTTATGTGCCAGGCACTGTTCTAGGCTCTTGAGACACATTAGTGGACAACTCAGTCAAAAATCCCTTAAAAAAAAAAAAATCCCTGACATGATGGTGTTTACAATCTGTCATGGGGAGTCAGGGGAAAACAAGAAACATAACAAGTAAACACATTATCATATAGTATATCAGAAGGTGATCTGTACTATGAGAGGATAGGGAGTGCTGTGTGGGGGGAGGGTGCAGTTGTAGTGTGACCAGGGAACTTGAGAAGGCGAGTTTAAACAAGTAAAGGAGTGAGCCATTTGGACCTGATATTCGTTCATTCGTTTACCTGTTGGTTAATTTATTCATTCATCAGTAGATGCTGATCACCTGCTATATGCCTGAAGCGTGCTGGCTGGTGGAGCTATGGAGATAGTCCCTGGCTTTAAGGAGCTCTCAGTCCAGTGTGCAAAGAGTTGATCACAAATCAGCGTGGTCAGAATTAGTTGTGACCACAAGGGTGTGGAAATTGGGCGCAGCTGAATTAGCGAGTAAGGGGTGGGGTGGTGATCCAAGAAGGCCTCACAGAGGTGGCAACTCTTAAGCAGGATAGGTAGGAGTTTGAATAAGCCCAGGCACACTGACCTTTCTTTTGTTTAAACATTCCAAGCTCAAACCCACCTCAGGACCTTTACACTTGCTGTTTCCTCTGCCTGAGTTGTTCAGGTCTCAGTTCAGTGGTCCCTTCCTGACCACTCAGATTTAAAGTGTATGCCCACTCTCTATCACATCACCCTATCATCCTATTTTATTCCTTTCATTACATCACTATCCAAATTTTAAAATTTGTTTATCTATTATATGTCTCCTCTTGGTGGCTTACGAGCTCCATGGGGGCAGGGATCTTGGCTGTCCTATACACTACCATATTCCTAATATCTGGAACATACTAGGGCATCAGTTATATAAGGTGAATGAATTAATGGTGGTGCATGAGGGTGTTTAGAGCATTTTCATCAGGGTGACCAGCATGAGAGATGTCCTCTGTGAAGGATGCAGAGAGAAGAGAAAGGGGAAAATAGTGGGGTGGTGGGTCAGCCTTGGCCTTCTGGAGGCTGATGGTCAGAGAAAGGAGGAGGTTTCAGGAGGAAAGCCTGGAACCACACCCATCAAGGACGTTCATCTCCTCTGACCCGTGGACCATTTTGATAAGCCTGTGAGGAAAGCAGGAATGGAATCATCTTTCCAATCTGGGGGTCAGGAAACTGTGGCTGTGAAGTCTCACAGGTTGGAAGTGACAGAGTTGAAATGAGAACCCAGGTCTCCTGGCTCCCAGCCTGTGTCTCCTCCACCAGCTTATGGATGGAGACACTCAGAATCTCTCTGGGAGTCATGTTCCCCTCCTCTCTTCTACCCCATGTCCCATCCAACTGGTCCTGAGAATCCCACCTTTAAATCTGCTACGAAGCCCCATTCCCACTGCTGCAGCATCCCCACAGAGGGTCCCCACCCATCACCTTCCACTGTAGCAGCCTCCTCGCTGGTTACCCTGTGTCCGGTATCTTTCCAGCCACATGATATTCACCAGCTGCCAGAGCCTTTTCTAAAACTCATCTGATCACCTCACTCTTCTGCATAAAACTCCTCTGAGAGACAACAACACATCAACGTGATTTAATTAACCCTGGATTTGAGGTAATTTTATTTTCTTCTTTATACTTCTCTTTATCTGACAACTTTTCTACAATGAGCATTTGATACTTATGCAATCAGAAAAAAGATAATTTCTTAAAATCTTCCAATCTTTCCAAGATAATATCAAAACACCTTCAGCTGTACAGACAAGATTCTGCCTGCCTATTTAACCACATCTCTTGCTATTCCAATTCTCTCCTCATTCTTCTTAAAATTCCTTTACCATCTCCAAATTGTGCTTTACTCTCCAGCAACATGAGAGATACTCAACTATTAATGGTTCCTTGGACACCTTGTGCCTTTTTACACTTCTGGATTTTTAAGTAGGCTGTCCATCTTCCTCTTGTCTACCTGGAGAACTCCTATTCATCCTTTAAAACCTCAGATGTCACCTCCACTCTAAAGCCTTCCCTGATAACCACCTCCCATAATAGAGTAAACTCCCCCATTATATTGCTTTGTATTTTTGCCTAGTACTTTATCTGTGTGACTTCCCTACTAGGGAAAAGGACAGTACCTGATATATCCTGTTACATAGCTTGCACTCCAGAAATGTGTGCACAACAGAACTAGGTGAGATCTCAATCGTTGGCTGGGTTTGGTTGGGGTTTTTTCTGTTGGTTCTTCCAGAAACAGAACCTGAAACAAAGAATTGAATTCAAGACGTTTATTTAGGAGAGGATACTGGAAGCACTGATAGAGGAGGGGGAAGGTAAGAAAGGGAAGGAACCCAACAGAGGGGACGTTAAAAAGCAGTTACTACCAAATATAAAATCGATAGCTAGTGGGAAGCAGCCACATAGCACAGGGAGATCAGCTCGGTGCTTTGTGACCACCTAGAGGGATGGGATAAGGAGGGTGGAAGGGAGACGCAAGAGGGAGGAGATATGGGGATATATGTATATGTATGGCTGATTCACCTTGTTATAATGCAGAAACTAACACACCATTTGTAGAGTAATTATACTCCAATAAATATGTTTAAAAAAAAAAAAAGCAGTTATGGCTGTGGGCAGCTGTTGGTCAGTCCTGCTGGGAACTTCTGGGAGACAGCATTGACCGTGCCTCGGAGTTGTCCCATCCCCGGGCAAGGAAGCTGGAGTATTTATCCATGAAGGCTGCTCCCTGCAGCCTTCCCTGGAAGGGTGCTAACTTCCCAGCATTCCCAGCCTGTCTGGTGTGTGGGCTGAGCGAGCTCCTGTTGCCAGAAAAAGTCTCCCATCAGAGTCCCAGGTACGGGCAGTAGGAAGCTTGTGGGTCAGGTCTGCGTTGGCAGGAATAGAGGATGACGAGTGGTGTTGGTGAGGCAGTGGAAGTGTTCACTACAGAGATGGAGGGAGACACCCTCCCATACATGCACATCACTGGAGGGGCCGCCAGCAAGTCCTGAGGGTTCCACTTTGTGGTTTCAGAGACTTCTGGAGGACAGCAGTGAGGATACCAGCCCGCGGCTGTGCTGAAGGGGAAGACATCTCTCTCCATCTCTGGCCCAGACTCCCTGCCCTCAGTTCCAAGAGCCATGGGGCCATGTGGCTTCTCTCTGTGCCCTGCCTCCTGCCCCTCCAGGTGGCCTGAGGGCAAGTGGGTGGGCAGGCGACTGGAGCATTATCAGAGCTACCGGGATCCCTGGGGAGGCGTCACTTCCACTTACCACGGCACTTGGTGACACAGGCCATGGGCACAAGGTGATGGCTGGTGCTGTCAGCCCAGCTCTGGCCATCTCCCTGCAGACACCAAGACCCTGACACACAAAGGCTGGTCTGGAGGTTATTTGGAATCCAAGTGGCTCAGTCCTGGAAGTGTCCTGAGGATACTATCAGAACCTGCACCTCTATTGCACTGATGAGGAAAATAAGGCCAGAGAGGAGGAGAGGTTCGTCTGTACATTTCCTCCCTTCCTTCTTTCCTCCTTCGCTCCTTCCTTCCCACCTTCCTTCCCTCCCTCCCTCCCTCCCTCTCTCTCTCTCTCTTTCTTTCTTTCTGTTTCTGTTTTTCTTTTTTTTCATCTTTTGATCAGGGGCGTTAGACTGATGTCCTTGCCACTGACCTGCCCTGTGTCATTGGTCATGGATATAGGTTAAACTGCATTTACAAATAGCAAAAAAGTGTCCTCAGTAAAAGACCCCTAGGAGCTGAAATCAGTCTCCTTCAGGACACCTCCTACTAAAGTCCCCCAGGTGTCCCTGAGGCTTCCAACCTACCCCGATGGGACTCATCTGGGTTAGAAGAGTCTAAGGACTCTTCTCTACGGAACTCCTACCCAACCTGGGACCACATCCGGGCATAGGCATTAAAGAGCGTCTATCCATCATTGACGATGGATACAACCATTTACATCCCCTGCCTGGATCTAAATACAGACCAACATCTCCACACGGGTAGTAAACGGCACCTGGAACTCCCATGTCCAAGATAGAATTCTTGGTGCCCCCTTGCTGACCTGCACGCACACCTGTTCCTCCTCACCTCCCTCATTCCAGGCGATGGCATATTTTTCCTTGTAGAGCCTCAGAGGCCAAAAACCTTGGAGTCCTCTTTCTCACGTTCCCACAACCAATCCTACTGCAAACTCTGTTGGCTCCGAATCAGATCCCACCTCCACACCTCCAAGGTCGCCACCCTGTTCCAGGCTATGTCATCCCTCACCTGGATTACTGTGGCAGCCTCTGAATGGCCTCCCTCACTTCTCCCTTTGCCCCCTGAAGTTTAAGCTCTACACAGCCACCAGGAAGACCATTTGGAAGCGCGTTCAGATGCTATTCCTCCCTCTCTCCAGTGGCTCCCATCTCATTCAGAATAGAATCCGAAGCCCTTCCACGGGTGAGATGGATGAATGAGTAAACCATCCTTTCGTGGATTTGCCAACACAAGCCCGGCCAAGCCTCGTGACCCTCTATGGGATGGACAGAGGCACTGGCAGGTGGGGTGGCAGAAAAAGCACAAGGCTGGGAGTCAGCACCCTGGGCTCTGACTCCTGCTCTGCTGCTTTCGGGCTTTTTGGTGAGGGCCGAGTCCATCAGCAAGATGGGGAGGGACAGTAGGAAGAAGAAAGAGACAGAAGTTATGTCAGGACTGGAACTGCAGAAGGAGAAAGGAAAGGAGGTGTTCGAGGCAAAGGAACTCAGTCTCCTGGGAGGAAAGGAGGACCTCCCTCTTCTGCATGAGCCACCAAATACATCCTTTGGCCTGAGGTGGTCACGTGAGTTATGGGGACAGAGGACTCACACCTGGTTTATGTCCTGTTCCAAGGCAGAGGGGGGTTGAGGTCAGCTGACCAGGATGAGCCATAATCAGGCTGACACAAGGCCTCTGTCCATCATGGGGATGAATATCAGAGCAGGATGGGACCACAGAAACCTTCATGCCCAGGTGTACTCTGTTAGAAGACCAGACACTCCTTAGATAACCTGATGAATGTGGACTCTCCCAGAAATATGCACGCACACACGGTATTTTAAAATTTAGTGTGAAATTTCTCATACATAAGAAAAAGTGTATAAAAATATATGAGCAATTTATAGTTTAAGTATCAATAATATGAACATACAAGAACCCACCCTGTGGATTAAGAAATAGACCATTTCCAATACCCTATGAGCCCCTGTGTGCCCCACTCCAAGGTAACAACTTTCCTGTATTTAGCAACTCATCAATTTCTTTGTTTTTCTTCACAGTATTGTCACCTATGGATCTATTCCTAACAATATATTGTTTAGTTTTATCCTTCTTTGAACTTTATCTAAAAGGAATCATACTACAGATACTGTTCTGTGACTCCTTTGGCTTGAATACAATATTTTTGAGATTCATCCATGATGATGGAGTTAGCTGTAGTTCACTCATTTTCACTGTTATATATATTCATTCTATTGTCTGAATTATAACAATTTGTTTATTCATTCAGCTCTTGAAGGACATTTGGATTGTTTCTAGTTTTTAAATATTTTGAACAATGCTGCCTAGAACCTTTTGCACAGACAGCTCCTACGCCCATGTGCAAGTCTCTCTAGGCTCTATACTTAGTGAAGTGCTGGCGTGCAGAGTATGTGTCTGTTCAGCTTCATCAAATAATGTCAAACTATTTTCTAAAGTGGGACCAGCTGAAACTCTAACACTGTTATTTCTTCACTTGCAATTTCTTTACATCCTCGCCAACCCTTGGCATTATCTGCCTTTTATTTTTTACCAATCTTTAAGATGTGATTTTGGGAATTCCCTGGTGGACCAGTGGTTAAGACTTGGCACTTGCACTGCAGTGGCCCAGGTTCAATCCCTGGTCAGGGAACGAAGATACTGCAAGCCACACGGCGCAGCCAAAAAACAAAAAAAAAGATGTGATTTTAACATGCATTCCTCTGACTTCCAATGACCTGGACCATCTTTTCACATACGTGTGGGTCATCTGTGTTTCTTTTTTTCTGTGACATGATGACATGTTGTCTGTACAATTTTGTGTTGGCTTGTTTTTTCTTATTGATTCACAGTAGTTCTTAATATACTGGGCCCAAATCTTTGTCACTTGTCACTTACGTTGCAAACATCTTGTCTTGGTTGTGTAAGTCTTTTTTCTCTATATGGTGATTTTGATAGAGGTTATTCATTTTAATGTATCTTAATGCAGCAATGCATTAAAATACATTATGTATTTATTTCAGAAACACTTCCCTACCTGATATTTTCCTAAACTATAAATTTTGATAGTTTTTCCCTTCATATTTATATCGTTAATCCACATGGAGTTGATTTTGTGTAGGGTGTGAGGTAGGGATTCCACTTCACTATTTTTCATATGAATCACTGATAAACTGTCATGGCCCATTCATTAAGTACTTCTATCTTTTCTGCTCTGATTGGCAGAGAATGCTCACTCACCAACCAAGTCTCCTTGTACAGTTGCGTTTGTTTCTGGGCTCTTCATTCTGCCCCATTGGTCGGTTTTCTGTGTCCAAGCAATACCACATTGTCTTAATTAACATTGTTTTCCAGGTACAAACTTTCAGTCATAAGGTGACTAAGTTCTAGGGCTCTAAAGTGCGGCATGGTGACCATAGCTAACAATACTCTATTGTATATTTGAAATTTGCAGAGAGTAGATCTTACACATTTCATCGCACACACACAAAAGGTAACTATGTGAGGTGATGGATGTGTCAATTAACTTAATTATGGTAACCATATCATGTTGTATATGTATATCAAACCATCACGTTGTACACTTTAAATATATACAACTTTTTGTGAATTATACCCCAATAAAGCTGGGAAAACAAACAAACAACTTTGCCATATAATAAGTTTTTCCATCTGATGGGGCAAGACTCTCCAGCTCTTTTTCTTTGGAAGTGTCTTGGCAAACTCTTCTCTGCAAATTTCAGAATCAGCTTGTTGAGTTCCATGAAAAATCCCATTGGAATTTCAACTGTGATTACATTGAATCTATAGATCAATTTGGGGAGAATTGACATTTTTTTTTACAGTATTCAGTATTCCTATCCAAGGTAAGTATTCCTTATCTCTGTGTATTTGTCATTTTTAATGTACACAGCATTTTAAATAGAGCTTTAGGGGACTTACAGATTCCTGCATGGACTCCATCTCAGAATCCCTGACATGACTGCCCACTAGTCTCTGTGCTCTGTTTTCTTTTCCATCAGGAAACACTCCCCAGTGGTGTCACTAGTCATACATAATACATACACATACAGCTACCTTCCCACCCCCTCCCCGCTTGTCTTTCTGGCCCTCTGATATCTATTCCTCGGAAACTTACCAAGTTAACCTTTTCCTGCAGTCTGGAGAGGGAGAATGGGTAAAAGCAGGAACTTAGAGCCATATTGCATGAATTTTAATCTTGTCTCCACACTTACTATCTGTGAAATCTTGGTCAAGTTCTCCTTGTCTCAGTTTCCTCGTCTGTAAAATGGATCAGATGGTGATGCCAAATAGGACTTACCTCATAGAACTGTTGAGAGGATTAAATGAATAAATACACGCAAAGCACTTAGAACAGTGCCTGGTATAGCATATGTGTTACTGCTTCTTGCTGTTGTTTCAAAAACTTTAATGTCTCCACATCTGTGGGAGGCGGGGATCATCTTCAGAATTTTAAGTTAGGTCTATCTGACTTCAAATTCCGAGGCTGGGGGACTTCCCTGGTGGTCCAGTGGTAAAGAATCTGCCTTACAATGCAGGAGATGTGGGTTCCATGCCTGGTCAGGGAACTAAGATCCCACATACTGTGGGGCAACCCGCACACGGCAACTACTGAGCCAGCGCGCCTCATCTAGAGCCCGCCATACTGCAAACGCTCTGGAACCCGCGCACTACAACTACAGAGCCCACACACCTTGGAGCCTGTGCGCCACAACTAGAGAAGAGGAAAAACCCGTGCACCACAACTAGAGAGAAGCCTGCGCACAACAGGGAAGAACTTGCGCGCTGCAACGAAAGATCCCATGTGCCTCAACTAAGACCCAACGCAGCCAAAAAAAAAAATTCCAAGACTGGGATGAAGTAGCAAATATGGGTTGGTATAACAACTATGAGTGTGGATTTGGAGTTTATAAAAAAAAAGCTGGGTGGGTTCAAAACTTGCTTCACCATTTACCTGCTGAGTGACTTTGGTTTCTGAGCCTCAGGTTTCCCACCTGTAAAATGGGGATAACACAACTATTAAATAAAACAATCAATGGGAAAGACCTGGTAACACTACAGGAAGGGACTCATTTATCAATGCTCTGTGACGTCAGTTACAGTCATGTCCTTGAAAGTAATCTGCTTCTTCCTAGAGTTCTGTTGCCTCTTTGCCACTTTCCCAGTTCACATTAGTCTAGCAGATTGTTCAAAGTGCAGATTCCTGGGCCTGCCCCAGAAATTTAGATTCAGTGGATCTGCATCTGCCTGTCTGTGGGCTGTTTAATTCCTGTTTAAAAAAAATATAATTCCAGTATTAGTGATATGTTTCATAAGCACAGTCCCAGTTTGAGAGTGGCTATAGCGATTCACACTGGCTTTGCCCTACCTGAGTGCCGTCTTTCCCGAGCACTGGGGCTTCTTCCATTTGCTCTGGCTACACTTAGCAAAAAACTCGCAACCACTTCCTGGCCGAGCTGTCTTCTCCCTGGGAGGGGTGAACGGGTGCCCTCTAGGGCATGGAAGGAGAAGAGCTGCTTCCTGCTCACTGTCTAAGGGACAGTTGTAGAGGTACCGGGAGCAGCCATAGAACCCCCAGAGCAGGTGTGTGGGATGGGCAAGGGGATGGAGGTGGGAACTGCACCCTTACCAAGGTGATTGTCAGGAGGCCTCAGCCCAAGGAAGCCAAGGGCTGTGGGATCTGCCCCCAGCCTGGGCTGGTCCTGCTCTGCCCTTGTGCCCAGGAACCTGAATCTAATAAGCCACTTAGTGATGGCAGCACAAGCAGTAGCCACACTCTGTGCACCACAGACAGAAAACACCAGCCTGAGGCACGCCCTTACGAAGCCCGTCTCCTCCTCTGCCTGTACCCTTGACCCCCAAGATGAAAGTTGAGTGGTTTTAGGGCAAGGGCAGGGGAACTAGAGAGCAGGGCTCAGGGTAGTGATTTTCTGCCCCTCTTTATGGTAAACACCATCACCCTCCCCTCCTAGTTTCTCAGGAGACCCCTGACACACTGGCCTCCTTTATGTGACAAGCAGGCAGAGTGGCACTCAGCTTTCATACTAACTGCTTGGGGCTTCAAATCCTGGCTCTGTTCTTACTAGTTGTGTCAGTCTGGGCTGATGCGTGCCTCAGTGTTCTATACAATGGTGCTCATCATAGTACTTACCTCACAGGGTACTCGTAAGGCTTAAATGCACCATGACTGCTAAATGCTTCATGTTGGGCACATACTAAATACACAAAAGACATTTGCTATATATTTGGCAGTCTTTCCATTCATTGGTTTTAGGTACCACGCTAAGTATTATTTCGTATAATACTCACTATTATTATCCCCATTTTACAGATTAAAGAATTAATGGTATTAACCAATAAAATTTTTAAAAATTTTCCAAAAAGAACAATAATGGTGAAAGTGGTTAAATGCCTTGCCCAGGGTCACATGGGTAGGATGGGACAGAGGGTGGGATTTGAACCTAGAACTAGGCTGGCTCCAGGGCACACGTTCTTAACCATTGTTCTATCCTGGTGGCTCAGGGTCTCCCTCTTTGGTCCCCACCTTCTTCATCCTCCTCACCTTCTCACCTTCCCCCTTCCCCACTCAAGCTTCCCATTCTCAGCAGGGCTCCTCTCGCTTTTTGCCGGGGAACCCGGAGGCTGTGGCTGATGCAGTTCTGAACCCCAGCATTGTCTGTTTGCAGCCACCATCTTCTCTGGCCCTTTCTTCTCAGAGCTGGAGTCCTTCCCTCTCCAAGGCTTACCTCCTCTCCACTCCAGTCCCTTATGTCCCCCCACCTCTGGGACCTGCCCCAACACCATCCTGTTTCTCTTCTACTTCTCTTCTCTCCTCCCCTTCCCTCTGTCCTACCCAGGTCTTCTCCACCTGATGGCATCCCCCCTCCTTAGTGCTGTATCACGCTCCTTTCCCTTCCTCCCAGGTAACTCGAAGAAGAACCCCCCACTCACAGCTTCCGTGCCTCACCCCCAACCCCCAGGGTCACACAGAACAAGCGCTCAGACTCTGACTCCTGACATGTGGTCCAGGGCTCTTCCCACACGCCACATCTTCTCTGTGGAGCATTTATCAGACTAGGTAGTCTGGGCACACCCTGAAGGGATGAAACAAGGGACGGGGAAGCTGAGATGAGGAGGCTGGCGAGACTTTGAGGTCTTGGTGGAGGAGGGTCCAGGCTGGGCAGAATTCTGGGTGACAGAGTCGAACACAGGTCATCATTAGGTCATCCCTGCTTATTCCAGAGGACACAGAAATGCACACAGTAACCCTCCAATGCACTGCTTTCCTTGTGAGGAGACCGGGTAGCCAGTTCATACTGCCCAGGCATAGATGGGGGCTGTTGAGTTGAAGTCAGTCCAGACACTCGGACACCCCCGCAAATATACTGCATATTTCTGCTCGCGTGTGTGCCGGGGAGTGTGAGGAGAGGGGGTGGTAAAGGGGCTGTGGCCTTAGGAGACTGAGGGACAGAACTGCTGTCCTCATGGGGGGACATGCAGTCAGAGAGGGGACCCAAGAGCAGGATCAAAGCCCATAAACACACACTGCAGGGAGTCAGCCCCCAGCTCCCCGGAGCACAGGAGGGGGCTTAGAGAGCTGTACCGGGGTGGACAAGGCCCCCCTCCCAGGCG